GCCCAGACGCTGTATGTGGGACAGGACCCAGTGCGTGTGGCTCACGGCCACTTCCCTGGATGGGGCCAGTATTAACCAATCGTCTATATAGGTTAATATTCTTACCCCCGCACGTCTGATCGGCTCCAGAGCTGCTTCCACACATTTGGAAAAGGTGCGAGGCGCGAGTGCGTACCCGAAGGGGAGACGGCAGTACTCGTAATTCCTCTCTCCCACTGCGAAGCGCAGAAACCTCCTGTGTTCTGGCACTATGGGCACGTGGAAATATGCGTCTGTCAGGTCTATGGAAGTCATCCAGTCTCCTTCCCTGACACACTCGAGGAGCTGCCTTGTGGACAGCATCCGAAACTGCCGTTTGGAAATGCACTCGTTTAACACGCGCAGATCCAGAATGGGACGCACCCCGCCTGATTTCTTTGGCACTAAGAAGTAAGGGGAGTACAGCCCCCTGGTGGCGTCCTGCGGGTCTACCTCCACTGCTGCGCCTCGACTCAGCAGAGAGGAGACCTCCGCTTCTAGTGCCTCTGTCGATCCCCGTACCTGAGAGCGTACTGACCGTACGCCTCGGAATGGTGGTGGCTTTCGGAAAAATTGCAGAGCGTAACCTCTGCGCAGAGTTTTCTCCAGCCAAATATCTGTCAGTAGGCCCTGCTCCCTCCAGATGGTGTAGAAATCTGTGAGGGGCGGAACGGGAGTTGGAACACGAGACGTCACGGCCCCGCCCCCTCCTGGTGTTCCTAGCAGGGAGGGGGGGTGGCTGAAAGGGCCGGGGGGGCCCCTGCGTCACACCGTGGGCGCCGAAGGCGGTCACGTGTTCTGCAGGCCCGACGTCATGAGTACGGGACTGCTCACCACACGTGACTCGGCTGCTGTGCCCCCCCCTGGCTCTTGCCTCATGGAGGGGGGGACGAGCCCCTGGATTGGGAAACCCCGTGTTAGCCTTGTAGCTCTGCTCACCACACGTGACACGGCTGCTGTGCCCCCCCTCGGCTCTTGCCTCATGGAGGGGGGGACGAGCCCCTGGATTGGGAAACCCCGTGTTAGCCTTGTAGCTCAGAGATGCTAACACGCGTTCGGCTGGAGCACACACATTATCACTTACCAGATCCCTCCGCCTGCCCTCTCTCCGGGAGGGCAAAACATGAACCCGTGAATCTGAGCCCGTGGCCCGCTTAGCGCGCTGCACGCCCTTCTCTGGGGGCTGCAGGCCTAGCGGAGCCACGTTATATGCTCGAGAAGTAACACAATCAGAATTCAAATCATTTGACATGTTACATACCCCCAAATGAGACTCAGACAGCGAGTACTGATGAAATGCCGGACGGCCTTTATTGAAAACATTTTTCCCACCCCGACCTCCTCTGCCATAGGGAGGTCGTCGTTGGGTGTGTTGGTCCCGCGAACCTCCCGTGTGCCTGTCTGGGCCCGGGGGTCTCGTCGCTGGGGAACGATGGACCACGGAGCGTGGATATGGTCCGGGGCGCCTGCCGGGCGAGCGCTCCCTGCCTCTGTCTCGGCTCCGCGCTGGTGGGCGGGCCTCGCGTCTCGCAGCTAGATGCTTGGCTAGGCTAGCAGAGTCCTTAGCTGCGGTGTCCAGCCTCGTTATCAGCGTCTGCATCTCCGGACCGAAGAGTGACGTTTGGGAGATGGGTAGGTCCAGCAGCTGCCTCTTCTCCGCCTCTCTGAGATTCACCGACCCCAGCCAGAGGTGTCTGGCCCCAACTTGTGCTGCTGCCATCGTGCGGCCGCCATCGACAGCTAGCGCTTGGCACATGCGCAAGATCGCCGCTGAAGTGGTCCTCGCCTGGGATAAGGTGTCTCCACTGAGTGCCTGGTCAGAGGAGAGAGACCTATCCAGGGCCCCGGTGATGAAGGCCATGTTGTTAGCCACCGCGACGACCTGTGCCGCATTGGCGTAACATCTGTCGTGCATCGCCAAAGACATCCTATCCCGCTCGGAGGGAAGGAGAGGTCTGGTGCTGGGCCACACGGATGTGGAGGGGTGCAGGGCCGCCCGAACCGAGTCCTCGATGTCCGGGACCCCGCCGGTCCAGGACCAGTCCTGCACGTTACAGTACATGCCATACCCCAAAGCGGGCCTCTTGGCCGCTAGGGGCTTTGGCCACTCACGTGTCGCGTAATGGACGATCGGGTCCATACGCGGGCACAACGTGGGCTGGGCTCTCCTCCTCCCTCGAGGGGTGGCGTAACCAGAGGTGAAGTCCTCCACCCTCTGGTTCGGTTGCGGTGGCAGGGGGGCATCCATGATGGCCGCCGCCGTGGCGTAGAGCCCAGGCATGTGGTCCAGCGGGAAGCGGTCCGGCTCCGGGTTGGACACCACCTCGTCCAGCGTGAGGAGAGAGCCGACCTCCGACACCTCTCCGTCCTCGCAGTCACCCCACTCCGCGGGCACGGGTGGAAGGTCGAGGGGGGCCCAGTCAATCGCAGACCCCTCGTCCTGAGAGGGGTCCGGACGGGGCGCTGTAGCGGCGAAGAACGCGCGCCTGCGTTCACTCTCCTCCCTGGGGAGAGCGACACACGAGGCGCAGGTGGCGCTCAACGCCGCATGGCCCGAACCCAGGCACAGGAAGCAGCTGGAGTGCTGGTCCTTGCGCTGGAGCTTGACCCGACAAGTCGAGCAACGACGACGTCCGACGCCGGATGGCGAAGGGGAACTCGGACGAGCATCGGAAGACATCTTTCCTCAGGTAATTGAATGTAGATCTCAATCGGCGCCAGAGTGAAAGAGGGGGTGCGGCCTTGTGCAGGGGCATTTATAGAGGAAGGTGGCTGGTGATTGGAGCAAATTATTTGATCTCTCTGGCGCGTGACCTGGGGGTCACGAGTGATATCCCACTAGCGAAGTCCTAAGGGACGTAGCACCATGACGTAGAATTGGACATTTTGACAGTCGTGGTTTTGCTTGGGGGCCAAAATTTCCCGCATTGATCCAACACCCCTCAAAGAGTTTCAGCCACCATTTGAATTCACTTTTCATTCAGGTCGCAACATTTTTCCTGAAACAGTCCCAGACCTGCAGCAAGAGAGGAATAAAAAGTATCAGCTAATCTGACATTTACACAGCGACTGAAACCGTCGTCTGCTACACTTTCAGAAAAAGTGGTTTGCTAAGTGAACTTGTATTCATTGAGGTACAATTTTGAATTATGGGTCAAATTGGAGCCAAAAGATATAGTTATGTAAAATTTTTTTGGCTTAAATTTTACAAATATGTTGGCACGGATGAAAAGACACAAATTTGTACCCTTATTAATCAGGAATAACTGATAATGTATTCGAGAAAGCCTTTTAGTTAAGCTAAAGTCTATGGTAAACCAATGAGTTGATAATGCAAGAGATTGTACATTAAACTGTCAAAATCTTGAAAATATGAGATGGACTTGGACATTGAACAGAATGAAGATTTTAAAAAAGGGAAATTTAAACAGCGTTTAGGAAAAAATACTTAATTTTACCCTCGGCGACACAAGACTTTGATGAAACTAAGATGAGGAGATAAGAGGACAGAGCAAGAACGGAACGGGAGATGCTTATGCAAAGAATTAGGTCATCTCAATTGAGGTGAAGACATTTTTTAATATTTTGGTAATTGAATTATAATGATAAAAAATCATTATAATAGACTACACAAACCTTTGAAGGACTCTTATTTGTTTCTTCTCTGAAAGTTTTTTTTAAGTGCAATTGTAGGATTTAATATGTACTCTTTTGTACACTTGTTGTTGCATACTCGTCTTTTCGGAAACAAACATACAATGGCGATTAAATTAAAACTTTGTCTTCAGACTCAACTTTACTGTCCTCTTTATTGCTAAACATATAACCTGCTTGTTACGGACAAAGTCCTTTTGATTTTGTATATTGTGTTTCTCCTTGCCTCCACCTGTCAGACCCTCCCACCTCCAGCTGAGTGACGTCCCACTCACACCTGTGGGTAATCAGCTGGGAGGCATAAAGGGCCGGGATCGAGACCAGGCTGACTCTCTCTGCAACTTCGACCGCCTGTTGGACCAGTGGGTCCTGTGTCTGTACCTCACCCCTTTTGGAGCATTTTGTTTTGTGATTGAACAGTGGTTCTTTTGCACCTGTTTTAATAAACCTTTTACTTTTTGGACCTCCGCCTCCCGTCTCTGTTCCACACCCGGTTTTAATTTTGTTACTGAGCCACACTCCTAGACACCACCACCTTGTGGCTCGTAATAGTTGGGGGCTCGTCCGGGATTCTGTGGAACTGCGGTGGGTGCACGGGAGTCATCTGTGCGCTCGTGGTGAGTCGTGTGTGTGTGTGGGTGCATCTGGCATTGTGATCTGAATTGACCCAGCTAGACTAGGGGGTTGTCCAGCTTGGTTGATTTATTCGCCATTCCTTCGGGCATCCGTTTTTTTGTTTTAGTTTATTATTTTCGGGACGAATCCTGGGCGGAGTGGATTCTCTGACGGGGGCTGCACGCCTCGAGCCCGGCAAGTCCCAGAATATATCTAGGTCTAGTTGTTCCTGAGTAGGCGTCTGGGTTCAATTCTTGTGTTTAACTACAGGATTTCCAAGACGCAAACCCAAACCCTGTCACAACAACAGTTTGGCACTTTACAGCCGCAGCCGCCCCACGGTGGCACCGGGTGTTCCCAGAGGTCTCCCATCACAGTACTAACCAGGCCCTGTCCTGCACAGCTTCAGAGGTCTGACAGTATTTAGCTATTTTGCATGCAGGTATGGCCACAAACTTTTGTTTATACATATATCTACAATCCCATGAATGTTTTTTTTTTTTTGTTGGTGCATTCTGTTTTGATAAGTTGTAGAGCCGAGCCTCTCACCCCGTAACCAACACAATTTAACTTTGATCGTTGCCAACTGCATCCTTCACCAACCACACATTATTACCCAATAAAAAACCACAGCCCTCCATTTACCGTGCATTTAATTCCCAATGAGAAACCAAATCCAATTAAACAATTCATGGGCAAAATTGTACCGCACATTAACCATCGGTGGTCGGTATCATGCAGGCTAGCTTAAACGAAAGCATGGCCCATCTCAGCGGCATCACCGTGGCGATGGCGTCCCCCCCCCCCCGCTGAGGCCGATCCGCACTTAGATCCAGCGCTGATGAGCTCTTGTGCACTTCCTAATGAGGCCACTGCTCAGATACTCATCACTGATCAATGCTGTCTACAGCCGCACACTACTCCGCTGGGGCCGCAGTATTGAGTTCACTATTGGCATTTGGTTTGCAAGGTTTTATTTATTTTTTTACGGTTGAGGGTGAAAGAGTTCTAGAAGCGTTCACTGGAAGTACTGGATTGTGTTTTTTAATGAGTGTTTCTGTCCGTCAACAGAAAAAAGAGTCAAAATTTCTATATTATTTTATTTATTTTGACATTTTGAACACATACAATGTATAGTATCAAAGAAAAGTACAGAAAATAAAATATATGTAATGTTCTGAGATTAGAAATTATCGTTCCTCAAGTACAAAGATGTAATTGGTTCACATAATAACAAATTAAGAGATCCACTTAACTTAAGTCCGATACTGAAATTGGGGAATCAAAACGCATTAGAATAAAACAAAATGTATCTAAAATCCATGTGCAAATTAACTAACCTTGCCCAAAACCCCAAACAAAAAAACAATCATTCAAATAATAACCAAAAAGCCATGTCAATCTGCATGTAAGAAGTCTCTATCATATATTGGTTTCACATTTGGCATTGAACGGCAGAAATAATATTAAAGTTTTCCAAGTTTCACCCGCAAGTCTGTTGATCATCACGTCATTTCCTCTTCCAGCATACTTCTTTGATTCACTCATATCGAACAATCGACCGAACCTCACCACCCAAACTGGCGATAAACCCCACCTTCACTCTGCTATTCTTGTATCATACACAAACTCAATTATCGCTGACTTTTCAAGGACTATTAATTCTGCTTAATGGCAAACTTACGTGGACAATTGGGTCTGGTGCTGGCGGGGCCTTCCAAAGCAATTACAGCTTTGCGTGTAGGCCTCATTTGCATACGGCACAAAGCTTCCCCCTGGGTGCCGGCCCCAGTTTGAGAATGCACCGTGGTTCCCCAATACCTCCAATTCATGTGTGTGTTTCAGCCACCTCATTATGGGAACAGTGCCAGGTACAAATGTCTTGTCTGGAGGTGAAAATTCATAATTGAGAAGAAAGAACTCCCATTTTTTTCTCCAATAACTAGATTCACAGTGATGGGACATAGCATCTATTACCTGCTCTCTGAAAAAAAATCTCTCACATGCTTTTTTTTTTTTTTTTTACTGATTTGCAAGTGAACATATTGCTGTAAAAGAACATAAGTTATATCACATTTGCTATTAAATTCTGCCATTTCCAGTGACCTTGATTCAAATGCGTATCTAATTTCTACTTTTCAATTCAAGTGAGTTACTTTCAGAAGCGTTTTATTCTGAATAAGTGACTGGCTGCTACTGCTGACTGACTGTGCTTTTAATCACTGAATGAGAAAATAAAAATGTACAGGCAATATATTTCCGGAGGTTAGATACGTGGTTTAGGTTTTAGATTTGAGATAGACTTGGTTCGCTCCTTGGTAACGTGTGCGTACAAAGTGACAACGTGATAAAATGTCTATTATCTGGACTCTTTAGGGATTACTATCAACAGATAACACAAAATCATGCTGTCTTCATCTTATTGGAACCAACCCGTCTTTTGCTGATAATATAGAGCCCAGTGAGTCACTATTTGACTTGCTGATTGGCTAAGCAAGAGTCGTCATATTTGTAAACTAGTATTAAAACCAAACTAGTTTTGAGGGTTCGGAAATAGGTACATAGATGTGTTTTGTCAATTATACATAGTTCCATTTTGGTGGTTTGAAAGTCAGGTACCCCAGCTCTAGCAGCCTTAACTTAAACAATTAATTTCTTGATAATTTGCACAGTATTCCTTCATCCATGACCATTTCCGTCCATGTCGATAATCCCAGTTGCATCGGCACGTATAGAGGCTATACATTACCAGCTCCCCTGCGGCTGCTTTGCTTACGGACCGAGAAGTCTTCACCCCCCCTCCTGTCTCCTCACCCCTCTCCTCAACCCTCTCCTCACCCCTCTCCCCTCCCGTCTCCTCACCCCTCTCCCTTCAGCACACTGTCCTGAGGGCCTCCGTGCTGCTTCTGGACCCTCCATGCATATTTCAACAACAGCCTACGGGCGCCGCAATCCCCGACTGAAATAACAGGCGACTTATTTTTGCCCAATCCAAAACGAAACAGCTTTGATTAGGCACACGTTTATGAGTACTGACAGGTGGAGAGAAAAAAAAAAGAGTAAACAGGGGCTAAGTTTTTAGAGGGCCAAAAAAAAAAGATATTTTAGGCTGAGCTGTTATATCATGAGAAGATAGCAATGCTGAAAAAGAGAAGAGGAAAAATTGTCAATCACAAGCTAAATATGAAAGTACTTATCTATTAAAAAGCTTTCTAATTGCACATAATGTCAAGATTATTAAGTACTGTAAATGATACAGTACTATTAAAAATTGCGTCAAAAATGCTAATGTGACTTCATTTTTCATGTCTGATGATGAAACTTGCATTAAACTGTTGAACAAAAGTAAGTTAGAAGTGAGTAATTGTTGTTCTTTCATAAAGTTTTTCCAATAATGCCTACATCAAAGTCTGGTCTTATTCAGCATATTGTTGGTGGGCGATATTTTCCATTTAAACGAATGGGAGTCCATATCCATCATTGTAGGCTACAGTTGCGAGTTTCATATCCCATTTATAAATTCCGTAAAAAAACTAAAAATAACCTGATTGGTCAATCAATGGTTGGATAATAATCATGTCTAGATTAATGAAAACAAACAAAAGTCAGATATAAGAATACAAGGAATATACATGGCGTATATGGCGGATTATTTAATGCCCAAAGTGGGAGGAGTTTGAACTTGAAATGTGAATGAAAAGGAGCCAAAGCAAGCAGGAGCAAAACCTTATTAATGAGAACTTCCTACAGGATGCATAGAGAAAGCAGAATAGCATTGTCCCTTCTAATATATAGCCCATGTATTTCACCCACAAGACAATTAGTAAAAACTCTAATGCATCATCCTTAGCCTTCTCTACCTTTTGGTTCAGTTTTGGTTTTGAAAAATCTACCTTCAAAATAATATCAAAACCCTTTCTCAATAATCCTAGATGCAGGAGGGTCTGTTAGACTGTTAGGGGTCTTACTAACAGACAGTGGTGATGATCCAGGACACTCAACTCAACATTCAACAACATTTATGGACATTGGTCATCTACCGTTGAATGGACCAATGGCAAATTCAACGGTTTTCTTTAGTCCTTCGAGATACAGTAACTACTGTTGTGATTTAAGGCCATACAAGAATACATTGAATTGAATTGAATTTGATGTCTAATGGGTTTTTAGTTAAGACAATGCCCACCCCTGGAGTATAGACATAATGCCTGCTGGTGGGTGACCATGGTGGCAGGTGTCTTGTGTGGTGTGCTGCTGAGGAGAGGAGTTTGATGCTTGTCTAACAGAGCAGCTAATGGCCCCGCTGGGCGAGAAAACCTGCTATCTTTGTTTAGCGTGCATCTCGGCGCGCAGGGACATTCTGTGGCATCTATATTAAGCCTTGATAGGGTTCTTATAGTGCAAGTGGATCGTGCAAACTTGCATATCACGTGAATTTCTGGTTGGGAGTCTGCCACCTACTTGTTCCCTTGCAGATAGCGATGATAAAATATTTGGAAAGAAAGTGAAATGTGAGAAAAATATGTCTTCGTAATCGGAATTCCTTTATCTCAATCTGAACTGTATCTTGACTTGGTGGCATATTGCTCGTCTGAATAATGTTTGAATGTATACGGAATCCTACCTCTTATATATTTTGTCACCTTTGACAAAAATCTTGTTGTATCTAGGAGTAGGTATACAGCTGAGTGTGTATGAACTTGCGTCAAGTTCTACGAATTATCAAAAGAACAGTTTGCGTTCATGGTGTGTCATTCTATTTAAATTGGAGGGAAGATGTCAATACAACTATGGGAAAGAAGTAAAGAAATGTAGAAAAGGAAAATATTAACATACTATACAAATTTTTTGCATGTCTGAAAGTCCTTTTAACTGGCCAACAATGAGAGCTGCCACCCAATGCTTATAGCACCAGTCCCTAACTTAAGTTAAGAGTTTTGCCTAAGGACACAACGGCAGAAGACATGCGTGGGAGCAGTTGAAGGTCTTGTGAGGGGAACAAACCCACGACATTCAGGCCCAAAGGCCAATGCTCTACCAACTGAGCCACTGTCGCCCCAACTTCTACAAAAAGCGCTTTGTAATTCTGGTCTATATAAATAAGGATTACTTAATTACCCACTTATAGTTGATATGTACTGTACTACCTACTGTGGAAGATAGTGAAAGTTGTTTTGTTTCATGTGAATTGAACATTTGGATTAGAGGTTTGCGGAAGACGTTTCACAGTCACCGTAGTAACCAGGAAAGGTCTTTCAGCTTCTCTTCACCACAATTTTAAACTTTAGGCTCTTTAGAATATTAGTCTTGCTGAAAATGACCAGGACAAGAGAGAAAATTAGACAATTACCCTTCTGACATTTGGATAGCGACCGTTTTATCACACAATCTTTAATATGAAACAACATCATATTCCACCGCCTTTGCATTCCCCCGTAGGAACCACACAACAACACATATTTCCAACAATAGTCACACAATTCCGAGCAGAACTCAGACGGATCGGAGCTTGTTTTCCTGTCTCGGCTCGCACACAGAGGCCCTCGCTGTTCACTCACTCACATTACACTAAGACTCGAGGTTGGCCAGTCTCCAGCTTATTACTGTCAACCCGTTTTGTTTCATTCATGGCTCAGTGACGCCTCCTCTAGCCCGCAGCACTGCATTTCCCATGAGGCCGTGCTGCTGCCGCCTGCCACTAATCTGCGCTCCCGCCTGAACATGCTCCAGCCCTGGCCCTTCGCTCAGCTCGGCGCGGCTCCCGTGTTTATATTTTGGGAGGTTTTCTGATGCGCAGAGTTGTGCATTAGAAATAAAGCAGCTCTGGACCGCCAGTCAAGGATGGGTTTGGGTCGGTCGATGTTTTGACGATGGGGAATATCTCAATCTTTTGAAGGTTTTCTCCAACAAAAGTCGTACATTAGATTAAATAAACAAATGGCCCTGAATAAAGTTGGGGGACCACACTTTCCCTCCCATGCACATACACCTGTTATGATAGAAAGGGTTTTGTTAAAGTATTTTTTTGTGAACAAATCAGACCACACTATTGGTTGAGAGAGGGTGGTTCTCTCTGTTTAACTTCTGTGTCTGAAAAAGTTGAGAGGCCAAAAGTCTAAACAAATGTGGGCACTGGTGAGAGAAGCAAACTGTTTCGAGGATTAGCAGCTGAATGGTTTTTTATATAACATTGATATTTATGGTTTGAAGGCACCCATCTTTCATTTTCCCCACTCTTTTTGACATTTCCCATTGGAGAAAGAAAGAGTATCTGTAAGGCACCAGTATTCACCAGGCTGGGGGAACTAGTACCACCGCCCAAATTCAGTCCACTCTTGCTATAGGGCAGGTGTTGCAGACGGCTTCGAGAACCAAGAAGTACAATTGGCAAGGACTTGTTTGTCGTTCGGGAAAGCAGTGAAAAAGCAGTTGTGATGGAAGTAGACCAAGATTTATGACAATGACGATTTACATCCAGTACAGAGAAGTTTAGAGATTCCTGATTTTGAAGGGTTGCATATTGGAATGATGAGCCATATACTGTGTCCATTTGAAAAAAGAGTATAGGCAGAATTTTTTTTTAATTCATTTCCTACAATTTCTTTCTTTGGTTTATTTTTCAATCTTACAAAAACATTCACATGATAAATGTTTGGCTAAAGTCAGAAATTAAATAGACATCATACATTTCTCTTAATTATAATTAACAGTAAGTTCCATAAATAGTAATATTTTAAAGGCACATTAAACATGCCAATAATGACTATTTCTACTCCAATGTGTCTTGGTTTATCTTATCAATGTTATGTAACAGTGTTATGATATTTTCTGCAGGCTAACAAATGACCTCATGACAAATATTGTAAAGTTTTCTTCTGCCCACCTTGAATGCAGGAGTCCATTTAAGCTCGAAATTAAATTCTAAAAAAATCAGAAAGTCACATTATTTGACAGGACTCAGATTTGGTGTCCATTCCGTCTCCTTCCATTGTTCTGCTCTTGTCTGGAGGTTACGAGGCGTCATCTGTCCACGATCAATCAGTGTGGCTCAAACGTTAAAAGTGTCTGGCTCTTTAAACAGGCAGAATGAGAGGGACCACCGCCATAAATCTATACGCTAACCTTTAGCCGCGACAAGCTAAGCTCTCAGCCGGCATGCTGGCTTTTATCACTTACACCTCCCAGCAAGCAATCCATCCACACTTCCAATAATAACTGCCAAAACAGCAGCCCTTATACTTTCAGACTGAACTATGTACATCCAGCAGCAGGTTTCAAAAATACACCCGGTGGAGATGAGGATTTCATACGGTTGAAAAGATTTAAATTGGATACTTGAATAAAAAAATATATATATTTACGTACACAGGTGGAACTCGGAAAAGTAGATATTGTTCAAAAGTCCATTTACTTCTGTCGTTTAACTTACAATGTAAAACTAATATATGACAGACTCGTATTATTAAGCCTTTATAGAAAGTAAGTAAGTAATGTTTATTTATATAGCGCATTTTACAGACCAAGGTCACCCATAGGGCTTTACTAGGAAGGTAAGACTCAGGGAAGGCTAAACTCCTCAGACTGTCAGTCAAGCTGCATAGGGAGTCAGTTTGCTGGGAGAAGTTTGGTAACTTGAGCACTATCCTCTCCTCCTTCCTACTTTACCTGTTTAGCATTTTTAGGATTTTGACTGTAGTTTGTTCATTGCTATTCACCCGTTGTCCCATTGTCTGTTTCATGGTACGATGACGGGATCTCTGAGCCTGGCCTCCTCCATCTGCACCTGTGGACTGCCCTGCCCGACCCGCCTGGGAGTGCTTCAGTCCTGCACCGGACCTGTCCACGTTCAGCGGCCACTGGTCCACGTTCTGTAGCTAGCTTAGGTCCTAGATCATTAGCCTGCCCGTCCGGAGGAGCGG